GGAAAAGGGAAAAAAAAAAAAAAGAGGAAAAGGAAAAAAAAAGGAAAAAAAAAAAAAAAAAAAAAAAAAAAAAAGGAAGGGGGGAAAAAAAAAAAAAAAAAAACCAACAAACGGAAGAGGGGGGAAAAAACCCCCAAGAAGGGCCCGGGGCCGGGGGGGGGGGAAAAAAGAAAAGAAAAAAGGGGGGAGAAAAAAAAAAAAACGAAAAACGGGGAAAGAAAGGGAAACGCCCACGGGGCCCAAACAAACCAACAAAACAAAAAAAAAACAAAACAAAAACAGCGGGACAAAAACAAACAAAAAAAAAAAAAAAAAAAAAAAAAAAAAAAAGGAAAAAAAAAAAAAAAAAAAAAAAAAAAAAAAAGAAGGGGAAAAAAAAGAAAAAGAAAAGGGGGGGGGGGGGGGGAGAAAAAAAAAAAAAAGAAAAAGGGGGGGGGGAAAAAAAAAAAGGGGGCCCCAGGGGGGCGGGGAAAAAAAAAACACAAAAAAAAAAAAAAAAAGGGGGGGGGGGGGAAAGGACAAAAAACAAAAAAAAAGAGAAAAGGAAAAAAAAAGGGGGGCCAGGGGGGAAAAAAAAAAAAAAAAAAAAAAAAAAGAAAACACCCCCCCAAACAGGGGGGGGGGGGGGGGGGCGGCCCAAAGAAAGAAAAAGAAGAAAAAAAAACACGAAAAAAAAACCCAACACCCCGAGGGGGGGGGGGGGGGGGGGCGCGGGCGGGGGGGGCCCCCCCCCCCCCCCCCCCCCCGGGGGGGCCCCCGGGGGGGGGGGGGGGGGCAAAAGGCAAGACGGGGAAGGGGCGGGGGCCCAAGAAAGGGAAAACCACCAAAAAAAAACAAAAAAAAAGGGGAGGGGGGGAAAAAGGGGGGAAAGGGGGGGGGGGGGGCGGGGCGGCGGGGGGCCCCCAGGGGGGGGGGGGGGAGGGGGGGGGGAAAAAAAAAAAAAAAAAAGGGGGGGAAAGGGAAAAAAAAAAAAAAAAAAAAAAAAAGGGGGGGGGAAAAAAAAAAAAAAAAAAAGGGGGGAACACAAAAAAAGAAAAAAAAGGGGGAGAAAGAGGGAAAAAAAAAAAAAAAACAACCCAAAAAAAAAAAAAAAAAAAAGGGAAAAAAAAAAAAAGGGGGAAAACACAAAAAAAAGAAAAAAAAAAAAAAGGGGGAAGGGGGGCAGGGGGAAAAAAAAGGGGGGGAAAAGGGCCCCGGCAAAAAACCCCCCCAAGAGCCGAAAAAAAAACCAAAAAGGGGGGGAAAAAAGGGGGGGAAGAAAAAGGGCGGGGGGCGCCCGGGGGGGGCCAAAAAAAACAAACCCCCCCCCCCAAAAAGGGGGGGGCCCCCCCACACAGGGGGGGGGGGGGCCCCCAAAAAAAAAAAAAAAAAAAAAAAAACACCCCCCACAGAAAAAACAAAACAAAAAAAAAACCCCCCCCGGGCAACGAAAAGGGGGGGGGGGGGGGGCCCCCCGGGGCAGGGAGAAAAGGGGGGACAAAAAAAGGAAAAAGTGTGGGGGGGGGGGGGGGGGGGGAAAAAAAAAAAAAAAAAAGAGGGGAAGGGGGGGCGGCCGGGGGAACCACCCAAAGCCCCCCCCCCCCCCGCCCCCCCGGGGCCCCCCCCCCCCCCCCCCCCCCCCCGGGCGGGGGGGGGCCGGCGGGGCCCGGGGGGGGGGGGGGGGGCACCTTGGGGGGGGGGGCGGGGGGGGGCGACCCCGGGGGGGGGGAAAAAAAAACAGGGGCCCCCCCCCCCTAGAGGGGGGGCAAGGGGGGGGGGCGGGGGGGGGGGGGGGGGGGGCGGCGGGGGGGCCCCCCCCCCAGGGGGGGGGCCCGGGGGGGGGGGAGAAAAGAAAAAAGGGGAGGAGAGGGGGGGGGGGGGGGGGGCCCCCCCGCCCCGGGGGGGGGGGGGGGGGGGGGGGGGGGCCCGGGGGCCCGGGCCCCCCAAAGGGGGGAGAAAAAAGGGGGGGGGAGGGGGGGGGGGGGGGGGGCCCCCCCCCCCCAACCCCCGGGGGGGGGGGGGGGGGAGGGGGGGGGGGGGGGGGGGGGGGGCCCCCCCGGGGGGGGGGCCCCCCCCCCCCCCCCCCCCCCCCCCGGCGGGGGCCCCCCCCCCCCCAGGGGGCCCGGGGGAGAGGGGGAGAAACGCGAAGGGGGGCGCGGGGGGGGGGGGGCCGGGGGGGCCCCCCCGGCCCCCGGGGGGGGGCCCCCCGGGGGGGGCCCGGGGGGGGGGGGTTTTTTGTTTTTTTTAGAAAACAGGGGGGGGCCGGGGGGGGGGGGGGGGGGGGGGGGGGCGCCCCCCCCCCCGGGGCCCCCCCCCCGGCCCGGGCCCCGGGGGGTGGGGGTTTTTTTTTTTTTTTTTTTTTCCCGGCCCCCCCCCCCTCTTTTTTTTTTTTCGGGGGGGGGGGGGGGGGGGGGGGGGCCCCCCCCCGGGGGGGGGGGGGGGGGGGGGGGGGGGGGGCCCCCGGGGGGGGCCCCCCGGGGGGGGGGGGGGGGGGGGGGGGGGGGGGGGGGGGGGGGGGGGGGGGGGGGGGGGGCCCCCGGAAGGGGCGGGGCTGTTTCGGGGGGGCCGGGGGGGCGGGTTTGGGGGGGGGGGGGCGCGGGGGTTTGTTTTGGGGGGGGGGGGGGGGGCCCCCCGGGGGCGCGCCCGGGCCCGGGGGGGGGGGGGGGGGGGGGGGGGGGGGGGGGGGGGGGGGGGGGGGGGGGGGGGGGGGGGGCGGGGGGGGGGGGGGGGCGGGGGGGGGCCCCCGGCCCGGGGCCCCCCCCCGGGGTTTTTTTTTTTTTTTTTTTTTTTTTTTTTTTTTTTTTTTTTTTTCCGGGGGGGGGGGGGGGGGGGGGGGGGGGGCCCCCGGGGGGGGGGGGGGGGGGGGGGGGGGGGGGGGGGGGGGGGGGGGGGGGGCGGGGGGGGCGGGGGGGGGGGGGGGGGGGGGTGGTTTGGGTGTTTGGGGGGGGGGGGGTTTTGGGGGGGGGGGGGGGGGGGGGGGGGGGGGGGGGGGGGGGGGGGGGGGGGGGGGGGGGGGGGGGGGGGGGGGGGGGGGGGGGTTTTTTTGTTTTTTGGGGGGGGGGGGGGGGGGGGGGGGGGGGGGGGGGGGGGGGGGGGGGGGCAAGAGGGGGGGCCCGGGGGGGGGGGGGTTTTCTTTTTTTTTTTTGGGGGGGGGGGTTTTTGGGGTTTTTTGGGGTTTTTTTTTGTTTGGGGGGGGGTTGGGGGGGGGGTGTTTTTTTTTTTTTTTTTGGGGGGGGGGTTTTTGGGGGGGGGGGGGGGGGGGGGGGGGGGGGGGGGGGGGGGGGGGAAAGGGGGGGGGGGGGGGGGGGGGGGGGGGGGGGCCCCGTTGGTTTTTTTGTTTGGGGGTTTTTTTGTTTATAAATTCTCTTCAAGACGTTATTTTCCGTTGTCGGATGGCAAAAAAGGCTAAATATAGTGTTTACAAAAAGGCATTCTTTGAGCTTTATGAAACTAATATTACCTGATATCTTGTTCATAAAGTAATAGAAACAATTTACAGATTTTTGCACCGCTAACTGTATGATTTTTGTGATACTTGTATATATCTCATCAATATATTTAATTTTTAGAAACAATAAAACCTCTTTTTGCAACTTCTGCCAACGTTCGATAGAAGTTTTCATAAGTACAATCATTTATGCAAGTTATATTAGTTTTATAAACCTCTTCGTAACGTCCTTTGTAAACTATATCTTTAACATTTTTTTTAGTCATCCGACATCTGAAAATAACATCTTGAAGAGAATTTATATACGTTTACATAAATAGTTCTTATGCCGATCTATTTTAGAATTCTCCAGAAAGTTTGTAACCTCGCATGCTTACTGGGTATTTAAGTAGGGGAGGCCAGATAGCAAGCTATTGTAAACAGCGTTTGCAAGCTACGGAGGGACGAGAGCCCTTCGGTAAGTGCAGTTCAGACGAAATTTTGGAAGTTCAAGTTCATTAAAGTTTTTGATTTTTTAAATACCTGAACGTTTCTGTAATGGTACTATTAACATAAAAAAATCTGATTGTTTGTGACACAGAGGCATGCCTCAGCAAGTTTTGCCGGCGCTCGAGATTTCCGATACCAAGGCAGCGTTGCAGCGATGCTTGCCTTTCACATTTTTTTTTTATAGAATAAATCTAAATGAGCGTGTATTTTAAATCAGAAGGTCCGTATTTAATTTAGTTGCACATATTTTATTACAATTAACAATTATTGTAAAGCCAAATCAGGCTAATATACAGTATGTCCGCGGATGGGTTTACAAGAGGTGAAGTGACAAAATATTCAACTTTCTGAGAAAAAGTGATTCTACACTTTTAGTTTTTGCTCTCCTAAAAATACAATTCACGTTGAGAAACTATGTTCTTTATACAGTGTTCTCAAAAATTACAAAACCTTGACATTCAAGAATAAACTTGCCTTATCTCTAATTTTGAAACAAAACGTCGAATGAAAAAGTTTCAAATTTTATATTCAATCAAAATCCGAAATATCGATTGAATATTATTATTTTTGTAAATTACGAGTTATAACACATATATATTTTTGAAACATACCTATAATTAGCCAAATAAAAAAGGTGGAACAAACTCACGGTATTTATTAAAAATTTTCCCATTCCTGGAGATACTATATATATAGTGAATAAAATACACATACAAAAAATAATTCCTCCTCTTTCCTTGTCTCTTCTTGATGCACCACTGCTCAATAATACGTATAAACAGGGACGTATTAAATTTTTTTTAAAAGGGGGTATTTTGTTTCTACGCCACTGGATTATAAATAGACAAAAAACATCATAAATTATGACTACTGTTGAGTTAGTCCAAGAATTTTGCAAAATTTTAATCAGTTTGAAGAAGAATGAAAGAAAAGTGAGTTATAAATAAAAGTTGAACACGTTGTATCTCTTAACGGTGAGGTTGATGATATGTTTATATGAATTTTCGCCTTATTTTTGACAAGAAATTTATCGGATTTATCAAACATTATGTGTATTGTCTTTTTAAAATGATTGATTGTTTATGGCATCGTGGTCGAGTGGTAAGGACACTACCTCTCACCCTGGAGTCCTGGGTTCGATCCCCGATCGTGGAGTCAGGATTTTTTCTAAACCAGAAATTAATCCTAGCGTACTCGGACATTGGGTGTGTGTCCATTGTCTCTAAATGTGTAGCCCTCTCCCACACAACTCCTTGAGGTACCTTCAGATATACAGGGGGTTGTATTACCTGTGGTGTTTAATTAGATTTTCTCCGAGTATACCTAATTATATTCCTACCTCTATAACTGCCTCGTTTTCCTCAGAAATTAAAAGAGCTACAGTATATGATGACTTGAGCATATTAATAAATAACTCATTTGCCAAAACATCTAGTTTTTTCACTTCTTCCCCTTGAACATTAGTTTCGCCCACAGTTCCAAAACTAGAAAAAAAAATTTTTTAAAATGAGCACTATAGAATAAATAGTTATTTTATTATTATTTAACTGCATGACCGAGTGGTAAGTACAGCTTTGTCACGTTTAAATGGACGAAGAGGGCGCTTATATCCATATCTGCATTCGGTGACGGAGTAATTTTATTATTGCAACATGTTAGCTCAATGAGTATTAAAGTGATATACCATATTTATACCATTAAACTGTCCTGTTTCGGTAAAAAGCTTAGTTCCGTATAGCCATAAGTAATACACGGATATTAGCTCCCTCCTGTTATTGAAAAGTAACGAAGGTGTACATTTAACTCTTATCACACACTTTTTAGTCACAAAAAGGACTATTTTCAATAAAGACACATATTTCTGTTACATACCAAAGAAAGATTATCAATGTAACACACGTCATGTTACCAAATACATCTCCATTGCATAAACATGCCTTCCCACGTTATGTGCATTTCAGTTACTATGAATACATATCTATTTGTTAAATAATATTAAAATATGTCACTTTTACATAACTGCTACATTACAGCAACAAGTATCGTGTGTATTTACACCATATATGGCATTTATGTATTTCTGTAATCAGCATGGATATTTTAAATTATATTCCCTGTTTGTTAAATAATATTAAAATATGTGACTATTAGATAATATCTCTACATTAATAAGTATCTTTTGTGCTTACACCACACATATTGAAGTGTCAAGCTAAAGAGAGAGGCAGTGAAGCATTTGAAGTTATACCATTTGAAAGCTAAATAAACGCTTTCATTTTGAAAATTTTAATAAAGAAGTAGCAGTTTTCTTAGTTATTTAATTTAGTCTACTTATTAAATTAATAATTGTGGTGTAAATAAAAAATAATAAAAACTCTTCATAAAAAACTTTGATAAAGTTAGTGATGAAATAAAAACTGATCAACATAAATAAACACTATAAAGATATAATATGTACATAAAATAGAGAACAGGACTGGACTTAATATTAAAAATCAACTTAACAAAATTTAGTAAAAATGACTTGTTTCAAATGTGATCAAATCGTTTATACCAGCATTAATAATTTTTGCGAATGCGATGTATGTAAAAATAAATATCATTACGTATGCACTGATCTTACAGCTTCTGAAATTAAATGTATGAAATTAAAAACCAAGAGGACATTAAAATTCTTCTATGAAACCTGTCAGCAGGGTAAGGGTATACTAAGGCTGGAATTTTTTCGCGAAAAATCGTATTCAAAACAAACCCACCTCAGATCAAAGGACCGACCGACGAATATTCACTTAAGGTATTTTTGTCATTTTGTTCATACCCACTGGGTTGGGTTTTTGGGTTTATTAATTAAATAAAACAAAAATAGATATATTATACTTTTCATAATATTCCTTTTTAAATAAAATGAATTTTTAAAAAAACATGAAGGTAAAACAAATACATGAAAGATGTAAATATTTAAGTTTCTAAAATTTAAAATTTAATTTTAACCCCTGCTTGGGGGTGGAGCCACTGACCTTGACGCACCCGTACAATTTTACTCGTTCGGGATTATTACCAATTATGAAAAACCAAATAGAATCTTTACAAACCAAAGTGGAGGAGTTAGCAGTAAAATTAAGTGATACAACTGTTTCTACTAATTCGGCACCTATATGGTCAACTAACACTTCCCCTCAACCAACGGCAAATTGTGAATCTTTTATTGCTGAATTAGAAGAGAAAAACAGAAGGGCAAGCAACCTGATGGTATTTAATATTCCCGAATCCACTGCGGCTTCTGCCGAGAGGAAAATAAATGCAGATACAATACTTCTAACCACCGTCTTTTCTCATCTAATTCCAACCGGTAACATAAAAAATGTTATTCGTGTGGGCAAAGTCGGAAATAAACCTAGACCGATTAAAGTAACATGGATAGTCAGAAACAGTATTGATCGTTTTGAGAAATAAAGCTAGATTAAATCACCCAACTGCTAGGGTCTCCTCAGATCTTACAGTGAATCAGCAAAAATATCTGCAAGATTTAAGAACGCAGCTTGAACAACGAAAAAACAATGGTGAGAATGACATAACTATTAAATATGTTCGAGGAAATCCAAAGATCGTCAGCACCAGTATAAATAATAATAAAAAAAACAGTGAAAACAGGTAACTCTATGAACATAGACACCAATCTTCTATTTATTACCAAACCTGGGATTCGAACCAAAATAACTGAATTATCTGAGTACTTTCATCTAATTTTCAACTGTTTTACGGAAACTGCTAGATGAACAAATTAACAACACTGAACTTGGTTTACCAACCGTCAAAAGACAGATCAGAAATAACAAGCAAAAAATCCAGAGGTGGTGGAGTACTCATTGCTGTTTGTAAGAATATTTCATCCACGCTTATACCATCATCATATGCAAATTTAGAACAAGTATTTGTCACTGTAAAAGTTGGTCAAGATATTCTAGGTGGTGGAGTGTACTTACCACCAAATTAACCACTCAGTGTATACGAAGGTCACTGCAGTTCTATAGATGAAATTATGCAGAAAGGGTTCAGATGTAAAATGTATTTTTGGAGTCACTACAATTTGCCCAAATTAAAGTGGACAAATGATGAGTTTGGTGTACGTGTTCCCGATTTTGCTGGCCTGGCAGCAAAAGCTATATGTGACAGTTTTGTATTTCACAATCTTTTTTAATTAAACCATGTAAACAATTGTTACAATGTCATTCTTGATCTATTTTTTACTCACAATATTGAGGCTCAGGTAAACAGCAGATAATTACCTTATTAATTGTGATTTTCACCATCCGGCTCTATATGTGAGCATTCCAATTGCCACAGGTACTGAAATCTTAACTTATAATACTTATTATTACTATAATTTTAAGAAAGGTAATTATTTAGGCCTAAATAATTACTTATCCAGTGTCGATTGAGATGCCCTACTTGGACCTGTAATACAAGATATTGATGCAGCAGTTGATATTTTTTACAAATTTTTGGCTGTAGGTATTGATTCTTTTATTCCACTAATGCATTTAAAAACACCTAAATTTCCACATTGGTATACAGTCGAGTTAAAAACTCTGATATTTGAAAAAAAGAAAGCTCATAAAAATACAAGAGCACGAATAACTGGTCAGATTATATATATTTCTCATCTTTTTTACGGGCACAATGTAAGAAACTTAATAGAGAATGTTACAAGAGATATGTGGAAAATATAAAAAAATTCTGTTCCCACAATTGTATAAAATGTTTTGGAATTACATAAACTCTAAAAGAAAATGGTTTACCTAATTACTGTTTCTTGGAAACGATAGTGGTGATGATGGTGATAAAATCATCAATTTATTTTCGTATCATTTTAAATCTGTGTACAAGCCCCACATCATAAATGATGTTCATAATATTTCCTTTGACCATACAGTTGACATATATACCTATAACATTAGCTTAGAAATCATTTTCAATAAACTAAATATGCTACATATTAATAAAGGCCCAGGACCGGATGGTGTGACTCCACTATGGTTAAAAAGTGTTAGGTTTTGATTAACAAGACCATTATTTATTCTTTTCTCAGCATCATTGATACTGGGAGTATTTCCAAAACAATGGAAAAGTAGTTTCATAACCTCAATTTTTAAAAGTGGGGATAAAGCTAATGTTATCAACTATAGGCCTATAAGTTTTCTTAATGCCATACCAAAAATTTTTGAAAACATTATATGTGATGACATTAAAGAGAGAATTACACAGGTTTTAATAGAGGAACAGCATGGTTTTTGCAAAGGTCTTTCTACAAGCACCAATTTAATGATTTTTGTCCAGCACCACAGAATCCAGTATGTATTGAATCCTGGTATGTATTGGATGCTTTGGATAATCATTTTTCCAAGTTTGACACCGTAGATCATGTACTTTGGAAAAAATTAAATGCGTTTGGGTTTTACGGGAAATTACTCAACTAGTTAACTAGCTATATTAGCGGCAGAACACAAATTGTGAAAATTAAGGGATCAGTTTCTGATCAAATACTTGTAACATCGGGAGTACCACAGGGGAGTCATCTGGCTCCATTTCTTTTTAATATATTTATCAATGATATAAAGTATGTATTAAATAATTCTTAGTTTCTCTTATTTGTTGATGACCTTAAGATATTTATCACTCTCAATTCTGAAGCCGATTGCTATAAAATACAGTCGGGCTTGGATGCTCTCTGAATGGTATTCTCAAAACCAATTAGAACTTAACATAGGAAAATGCAAAACTATGATATTTCATAGAACTCATAATGTAATAAAATATTAATATAATATCAATGGCAGCCCATTAGAGATCGTTACCTCTATGAAAGATCTGGGTGTAACTTTGGATAGTAGACTGGACTTCAATTTACATTATGAGGTGATAATTAATAAAGCTCAGAAAATGTTGGGATTTATGTGCAGGGCTACTAATGATTTTGTTAGCGTCTCATCAATAAAGTGTTTATACAATTCACTTGTAAGATCCGTATTAGAATATGCATCTGTAGTTTGGTCACCCACATACGAATCTCACATATACAACATTGAAAAAGTCCAAAACAAATTCTTAAGATATGTAGCCTATAAACTCAAGCTACCACTGTGCCAATTCTCAGTCGA